CTTGGACTCATTATTTGAATATAAGGCGTTAATTGGTGTCATAACTTGCAAAATGCGTCATATTTTAACAATTTCAACGTGCTATCATTTTCGAGACCTGCAATAAAATCACGATAGACCGATTTATAACTCGTTTCAGCTGGTAAAAGTGTAAGCGATTGAGTAATACGATTGACATTTCTACCAGGACTTGGTAATCCATGAATTTCCGCATAGTTTTCGAGAAAATTTTTCACGGCGGTAGCAACGTTTATATCAATGGTTATTTTGGTTTTCCATCGCGGCATTCGTTTTATGTTACCATGAATGCGCGGTACGATACCATTCGTCGCGAGGTGATTTCTGACGTTTTCGAAGTGAGTGCGACCAATTCCCAACATATTGAAATACGTTTTCTGACAAAGTGGAGTATTACCATCTCAGTAGTAAAACGTTCGCTTATTGGTACGCGTTTTATTTTTAAGACGTCGACTAGCCGTTATTTTTCCACCATTCATTGCTTCTAGTTGGGCCATTAAAAATATATCTTGTTCAGATCTAGAGAGAGCTTGAAACGCCTCACGTAATTCGGCAAATTTTTCTTTCGGAATCATTTTCGAACAATCACAGTTACAGCCTATCTCTAAGAAACGCATGGCTTTTTCGTATTCAGTGGAGCCGTTATATTCATTATTTATCATATACGGATAATTCTATATATAAGTTTTAATATTTGTGTATAGCAATCTGCATGTAACTGACATATTTGTAAACGAATCGAAATTTATTCTGCGATTCTTACAACTTCCCCCATTAAAATTTATGGCACCTGTCCAAAACTATGTACGAAAATTATGCCCAAAAATTGTGAGAAGTTAATACAATTTATAGCCGAGAATAAATAGTATTTCAGATAAAATGGTAAATAATTTAGTGAAGCTTTAGTAAGTTTCTAATTCTATACAATTTCATAATCTGTCTCTAATACTAAGTGTCACTATCTCTATTGTCAGAATTAGTGAGACATGATGTGGTATGCCATCCCCTTCTTATGGAAAGAATGGTCAAAATGTATCCCATTCATTCACAACAAGCAAAATATTACCTTCAAACAATTTTTAATTATTTTCAAGATGCATGGTTGAGAATAAAAAGATAACATTGTAGTGATGTTAAGAAGAGACATGTCTAACCTGCAACAAGAATTTACAACACTGATAAGTACTGAGGACACATCTTTTCAATATAATAATAATAGCTGGTATGTTTACTTTAATATTAAGCAATGATAATAACAATTTATTTGTGTTAACCTAAAGTTGTTCAATAAGACTTCTAAGTTTACTGTAAGCTAAATTATTACAACATGTATATGTATGCATGGTTTTCCATGGTTCATTTTGAAATACATTTGCCCAATATGTATTAATTGCATTAATATTAATGTTATCAATATCAGAGGGAATATTCTCCAGATTCTCACACTTCATGAGCAAATACAAGGATCTAATACTAACAAGTGTATGAAGATCATCCTGTGCCATTGCACTAATAGGATTTCCAATACATGTTCTGACACTAACATCATTGGTGCACCTGCATGGACATCAATCTGGAAACCAATTGTATATAATTATAATCAGTTTGTCTAAAACCAGCAATAAGTTTATAGAAATTCTTACCTCTCCAACAAATGCACTACAACCAAAATCTGCCAAAATTATTTTATCATTGTTATCTATTAAGATGTTGGAAGCTCTTACATCACAATGAACAATTCCTTGTTGATGACAATTATGCAAAGAATCCACAACTGCTGCTAACTTGCACACTGGTAGACTTGCATCAAGAAATGTGCTTTTTGCTCGTGGGTACAATAGTAAGGCATGGGTTGATTGTTCTAGCAGTTGAATGATTCCAGTAATTCCTTTTAACCTTTCAAGTGCTCTTTTCTCTCTCTCTACCAATGCTTGTTGGTTCACAATTTTGAGTACCACATCAGTTCTTCCTTTTATCTCAAAAATCATAGAAGTCTTTGTCTATGCTATTAAAGAACGTGTGGCAAGCTTTAATCCTACATTTAATAGAGTTAAGTGTTAGGTTTAATAAAAAATTAAAACAAAGAATATCAACTTACCTATTTCAGGATGATAGATTGTTTCAGATAACAAACTCCATAGGTATTTACTTCCTTCATTATCCAAGAGAAAGATATTGGAAAAATAAACTGTGAATGGTAATCCATTCTGCTGCTCTTCTCTAATAACTCTGATAAACATAATCTCGTAGCAGTCAGTCAAAAAGTTTGTTATTTCATCTCGCTCCTTCTGATGATTTAGAATCTTAATTCCATAGTTTAAGACCGTCCTCTATGGGCATCCTGAAATGCAAATGTTGACGTTTTCCTTGGTTTAATGTCACCAACCAAGTTGATTGCATGAATGCTTAATCCATAACCATTACTCAAAGTTGAAATAATGGTGCCAGTCCATCTAAGTAAAAGCGGTCATGTGTATCATGAACCATAATATGAGGTGCTGTCAACTGTGATAGAATCTTTTCGACAAAAATCTTTGAAATCTTTTTCTTCACTTCCATTTGGTCTTTCAGGAAGATTAAAGTTTAAGGAATTTTGTGAAAGTTGTAGCCAACCAGAGGTTGGTAGGTGTTTTGCTTCGTAGGAGTGCCACAAACTGGAAAGACTATTAAATGTCGATGTCATTGCAAGCGTTTCTATAACTCTCTGACGTTTCGTTGCCTCTAAATCTCGCTCTATTAATGCTCTTTTAAGTTTTTCTTCTAATAATTCTGTATCAACAGAGACAAATTATTAATTTAGTAAACGAAAGAGTCTCTTCTCTCGAATAAGAAAACCATGTCCTTAATTTTCACTTCATACAGTATGTCAAAACCATAAAAAGTACTATAACTACCTAACCCAATAACAAGTCTCAACTTATTTTCTCAGATCATAAACATGGTCATTGTTGGATGTCATCATTGCAAATATTAGGAGTTATTATTATGGTGGATCCATCAATTGTCTGGTTAGTGAGTCCCTCCCCTACGCAAATTTCGTTTTAGGGTTTTCATTAACACCAATTCATTTCGTTTACTATTTAACGCGTCCATTACTTGCTTAATTCCCCACGACAGACTGAAAATGTGGACAAAAGAGTTCGCGGTGTATTAACTAATAGGCGGGGAAGTCAAAAGCAATACTAATACTATTCGACGAGCCGTTAGAAATAAAATTCCTAGTCCTGCTCGAAAAAAAAAAGAGCAACCGTTGATAGTCATACAGTGTGTTACAAAAAAGAGGCAAAAACACTTTTGATTGTTTATGTTGTGCTATAAGTAATGAATAAGCTTTATACGTTGTTTAATAGCTTATGAGCAGAGGTTTTATTATCACAAATTTGATTGAGATTTCTTCACAAATACTTCTCATACTAATACTTAGTCATCTAACAAATTGATTAACATTTTATCAGAAATAAAATCTCATTTTCTCTACTATACATATAAGCATATTAATTTTCCACAACTTTTGGCCAACACAGTCACTGGACATTTCACTGACTTACAATTTCATATAGTAATAGTGATACACAAAAATAATTATTTGTTTTTATACTGACATGAATTTTCTCTTTGATAACAATATGATAGCAACAATTACAATGATAATAATAAATAAACTTATGCATCTTGTTATGCTTTACTATTTTGTAGTAATAGTAATAGTAACAGATTGTGGACAAAATGTTTAGTTAGAGAGTTATGCCTGTTCAAAGTTGTATGCTTTTTTACCTTTGTGACCAGATCCTCTTAAAACTTACATAATAAAATCAAAACAAACATTTGTAATTGATAGTAAACACATCAATCGCCCGACAACTTGAGTGGCTTATGGAAACTGGATCACAGATAGAGAAATCGGCAGCATCGAGAACGTTGAAGCAGTTTAAGGTAAGCACCTTCTATTAGTACACTTGCTTCACTGGTATTCCAACCACTCAGCTTTTGCGAATTATATGGCGGTTGGCATGGGGTACGGATGGCTTTATTAGGACGTCATAAACCAGGCTGAATAAAATCTTTATTTGAAAAATACAAGTTTTACGAAGTATTAGTTATGTTGTTAATCCTCTGTTGTAATATGTCTAACCAATCAACTGAGTCTGCAATCATCATCAAATCACCAGGGTTCATGGCAATAACGGACAATGGAATATCAATAGATAATTTATCAAAGATTGCCAAAATCAATTTGAGATATTCCTCGTCCAAGCGCTTACAAATATTCACAAGAACTCTCAAGAAGAATACATAAGATAACTTTCTTTTCCAAAGCCACGTCTGCGAGACATCAAAAAAGTGCAGAAATATAGCCATAACTGTAGAAAACTTGACCTTCTGCTTTGCCGCTGTTGAATCTAGTGGCTTAGCAAGAAGATACAGCCAAATACACAAATAGAAGTCGGCAATAGTATTGACAAAGTCGACATCCTAGAATAGTCATACGTATTAGAATTATACTTATAGACTCTGATCTGAACGCAGTTAGTTAAATGGCTTACCTGCAAAAATGTTATGTTACTATTAATTAATTCATAAAAAGTGTGAAGTGTGAGCAATATACGAGCGGAAAATCTACCAGAGTTTAAAGTCCTAATCAATATCGATAATCGAATTATTCTGTTGCACAATATCCTCTAAATAGACACATACCTGAATGATGCATTTGAAGCATAGTGACCAAGATAGCCGATAAAATCTAATATGTCGTTTTTTGCTATGTGGGCGAAGTTTGACGTTAACGCTTTTACATCTGGCAGTTCGTTGAATACGTTCGGATCGGGTAACTCAACCGAGAAAATAATATCCTACAAGATCGATATACAAGTGACCCCTTTAGTTATAACGACGGTTAATAAAACGACAATTCCTCAATAACAGCTTTTTTGAAAACCGAAGATTGTTTCATCAAAAATTGGCTGCTAGATAACGACATCTGGATTCAACAACACTTTTTCATTGCCCGAGAGCGATTCCTTCAGTTAATTGAATTTTTCCGGCGTCGTTATAAGCAGAATCATTTGTATCAACGAAAGCTAGTTAAATTAATAGAACTAGTGACAAATCCTACCTCATTGTTATCAATACACCATCTTATATCCTTTTCAAAAGTCGTTACATAGTTGATATAGGTATCAATCATGCTATTATACATCATTTGTCTTAATTTATGTGGCAATTTTACCTGATTGTATAAATAGTTAGGGATTGCATTCAGAGGTACTAATACGCGAACAACCGATCTACTTACACCTACAAGCAATTTTTCACCCGTGTCCTCATCTAATCGAATTTCTTGCAATATGGGGTCGATTCGGAAAGCAAACTCGTTCCAGTACAAGCTCAAGTTAATTATTGTTGATTGTACTACGAAAAAATCGCTGTGGTTGATTATCTTCATAAAGCAAATTGTTTTATAACGAGTCAGAATTTAGAATGCAGACTAGAAATTTCTCGAGAACTTTTTATATCTTACCACGCCCAATTCATTGATGACAACTTCATGGACGTCCGGTTGACTTATCGCAAGTTCCAAAAGGCCTTCACATAATGTCAACCTATATAAGAGTTTGTCAGTTAAGAAACACCAACAACAGCAAATTTTCAAGACACTTACATCCTGTCGATTTCAACATTAGTGTTCTTTTCCGACTCTACCAATACTGACTCAACTAATCTGCAAAGAAAAAGGTTTTCATATGCAACCGTTTCTCTTATCTTCATAGGAATTGATTCAAATAAGTAAGCGTCCTGGTGAAAATCCATGCAAAACCAGATGTTATGTATACCTTATGACATTGAGTTTTTACGAACATGGCAGTATCTTTCATTAGCTTATCGATTCCTTCGCCATTACTGCCAACGAAAATCAGTGACCTTGCTTCCTCGTAGATAAATTTAAGAGACAAAAACCACGTGCTCATCGGGGTATAACCCTGATGTAATAACTGCTGTATTAAAAGACAAAAATATTCCCTAAAGACAACTAATTCGATAATCGAAACAGTTAATGTCATTATTTGTCGAAAACCATTTTGGAACAAAGAGCACGTACCATTATTATTTTCATCCTTGTACGTGTTGAATAATTTCAACACCGGCGCAAAATTTTCTGGGTTAATCGCCTCCCTGAGATGTTCGCTCAGAATGCGTGTTACAAACTTTGCACAAGTCTATGACATTTCAGAGTATTAAATAAACATCCTATTGTATTGATATTAACTCGATTATAATGAACATCGACTACACACTGCAAGATCAACGTTATTACGATAACGTTCACTCTTAATGAACCTTAACAGATTTTCAAGATGAGTTCTGTCCAATAAAAAAGTTATTGAAACAAAGCTAATGTCCAAAAAAAAAACACCAACTTAGATACAGTACTTTTCCTTTAGATTCCCAAGAGCATTTATAGTAAAATATGGATCATCCACCGAATGACTTTCTTCACGAACGTTTGTATTTATCGGAATGTTAGCCTCGAGTTTGTCAAGTATATCATTAACGACAAGTCTTGGTTCCATTTTCAACATCCCCAATGTGCATACAGATGATGCAACGTTTACGTCTTCTATTCTAAATTGGGACTATTATTATATTTACTTTTAAACCGGCGCAGTAGTTGAAATGCACGAAGGTTGTCAGTACAATTCATCGGTTCTAACATTTGCTCTATAAAGGATGTAATAGAACGAATAATATTGCACAATCACAAGCTTTAGCTAATGAGAATCCTGGCCCAAAAAAAATGGGTTATTTTAAACTAGACGAATTGTCTTAAAATTCTTATGCTGAAGTATTATGCAATGGAAGGTATAAAGAGCCGCACGCAAATTTTAGCTACGCGGGCGTGTAAGCACTACCTAATACCCCCGTACACAATTGCTCTCCCAGGTGAGCAAACATAATAATAACAAATTACGGATAGTTATGAAATGATATTAATATCAAACAAGCTTTTATTACAGAAGACACGTATTATCATGCCCAGTCTCTGGGCTTCTTTAATACATCCAATATAACTTGTTCTTTACTTCCTACCACCGGGGAATGCATGTACTCCCATCGAGCAGTCAATGGCAAGGACATCAAAATACTCTCAATCCTCGCTCCTGGCGTTTGCAATCCGAATTTAGTTCCCCTATCCCATATCAGATTAAACTCTACATATCTTCCCCTTCTCAACTGTTGCCACCTCTTCTCATTCTCAGTAAACTTTACGTTCATCCTCTTCTTCACCAACGGAACGTATGATGGGAGAAACGAATTCCCGCAATCTTTGATGAAGTCAAATAATTTTTCGGCTGGTCTTTCATTTAAATCATCAAAGAAAATCCCACCAATACCGCGTGCCTCCTGACGATGCTGAAGATAAAAATACTTGTCGCACCATTTCTTGAATCGAGGATAGAACTCTTTATCATGCTTATCACAAGCAGACTTCAGTGTCTTATGAAAATGGATGGCATCCTCCTCGAAAAAGTATGATGGCGTTAAATCAGACCCGCCGCCAAACCACCAAAGCCTAGCTCCCCCTGTTTCCTCATCTCTGAGCTCAAAATATCGATAGTTCATATGCACTGTCGGAACCATCGGGTTGTGCGGATGCATAACAATAGATATTCCAGCAGCAAAGAAATTTTGTGGTTTACTTGCATCTAATTCTTTGTGCCTTGACTTCATCTGCATCACAGCAGCAGTTGGTAGCGTCCCGTGTACAACGGATATATTAACCCCAGCTTTTTCGAATACGTTACCGTCTTGAAGGATACACGATGTCCCCCCCCCGCCTTCTTTACGAGTCCAATTATCAACGAGAAACTTCTTGCCGTCAAGAGCTTCGACTTCACGCACGATATTTGATTGAAGATCTCTAATGTATCTTTCCATTTTAAGATCCATGGAAGTAGACCCATTGTGTTCATTCGAGCTTCGCTGTGGATGATATACAAGCGGGATGTATCGTATAATAAAAGAACTAGGATCTAAAAGGTATGAATTTAATACATACCCGAAGCCTAGCGCTACCCAGAGCATCGCAATATGTTTCATTTAGCAGCTGGATTAATAAGAAGTATATCAGGCTACACTAGCATGAGCAACACTCTTCCCGGTTACCCTTCTCCAACATAACCCTTACCGGAGTCCGACCGGTATAATTGCAATAAGCATAAGCTATGCTACCAGTCATTCCAGAAGCAAATATCAGTAGCTTCCAGCCTGCTCTGGTTTTAACTAAGTTTTTTTTTGGATGTGAAAGTTTAAATATTAGCTTTTGATTTAAAAAAGATTTATTATGTAGTCGAAATTTATGTTTATGGAATATTACCTCTGTTTCCACTATTCACATTCAGGACAGTAGTTCTTGCTACTAAAAATTGCACAATCGAGCGAATATACATTAAGATAATATATTCCGCGCGCGAAGGTGAGAAAATCATGAATCTTGTGAACGGGAAATATTTTGAATTTACCTGCTATGTCGTACAAATATCTTATATTTTTATCCGACATTACTGCGGTAGTTAGACCTAATTCTGAACGTAGAAAATCCAATGTTTTTTACTCATGCTTTGGCATCATCTAATAATCTCAAAAAGCCATGCTTCTGCATCGTCTATGACTTGAAAACAATTAAGTGATTTCTAACTTGCTCTCAACAAACAATCCTTATTACTATGGTTTAAACAAACATGATCGACCCTGCATATTCTCCTGAAATCGATGGCGATCAATCTTAGATTTAAATGCGCGTTATACTATGCTTAAACTTCGCGCAAGCGATTCAACATTAAAACCGATCTATCGGAATGGATAAAAGACAATAAATGCGATTCTGCCTATAATGAAGAAGGTACTTAATGTTTAAAATGTATACTGCTACGATAAAGGATACTTTATTAAGGAAAGTTTAACAATGGAACAACCGACCGTTTGTAGGAAGTAAAGTAAAAGCGTTCGTAAGCGAGTACGTTTGCTAAAAAAAGAGTTAAACATGTTAAGTTACTGCACAGTTCCAAAAATAAGGACTCTTCTAACTATACAAGTCACAGGTCCCGCATTGAAGGTGCTTATTTTCGGAGGTAAATTGCCTGCAGCGCTTTTCCAGCTTTATTTCCATATTGAAATTATCCTCTAATTTTTTTATCCTTGCTTTTTTTCCTCAATAAGTAAAGCTGGCAAATTTTTCATAATTTATGTTTTCCTTTCTGAATAAACTTGTCAGGTCAAGTAAATTCCCAAAGCCATTGATGAGCATAACCTATTCTTTGAGCAAAATCTAAATTTCGTTATCCTTTTTTACTATAACTATAATTAGTAACAATGCAATGTTATTAATACGCATTTGCCGTTTCCACGTCTGAGTGGTACACATTTTCTTTCCGCGGAGTTGTTCTTCGAAAGTAAACGTTCCGTATTGTGGAAGCCGCCCCAGCTTTTTCTTCAAGTGATTTATAAATTTCGAATGACATTTTGTTAAATGAAAATTTTGGATCCGATATGGTTCTTTTATCGCATAATTTTCTCAAATCGTTCCACAGCGTTTCGATATCTGTCAGATTTCATAGTCTTTGTTAATATTCCCATGTTGTAGAGTTGGCTATTATAAATTATGCCATTTAGCAACAGGCCCCCTCCAAAAAGAAATTACGTAAGCATTTTTTAGATGTTATTGATGGAAGTCTACAGATTTGTTTTAAACAATGTATCAATATTATTTATTCTGTCTGCGCATTGATTACCTTGTGCATACAGGAGAACCAACACTGAAGTATGAAAAATTTCGATCGACCGATGATTGTGATTGATAACGATAACGTTATTATATCCCCTTATAATTATAGTAGTCACAGTCACTATTGCACAATATGTTGTACAGTCGACCTTCCATAAAAGAACATGGTCGGGACAGTCAAATTATGTTCTATCATAGAGGTGTTCTTTTATGGAGTTATATAACAAAATATTTTATAATATTGTTACGGTCGGCGTCCACAATAGGGTTGGGAGAGCAATTGATTGCGTACGTGTGTTCTGCCGAGAGGGGGTCTTTCACAATTTAGCTCTTGTCGCTGCCCTTACTCCGACGATTGCTCACTTAAGGCTGAACTAAATTATAATTTTTTATATGCGCGCTTCTCTTCCCTATACGATGTATTTCTCCTATACTCGTATCTAAATAAGGGTACCCACGATAAATAAACAACAACAATCTATCT